ACTTTTATTGGAGAAACGGTGCATGTAAAGATCAAACCACCACATGAAGTTTAAACGCAGGTTTTACAAACGATATCGTGTTTGCAGGCTAAGAGGAAAATGGAAATCTCACGCCAGTATAGAGCAAAGTAAGTATCTAGACCATTAAGCAAAGTAAGGATCACGACTTTTATCGATATCTGGGTTTGGCGTGTAATATATTACCCAATTGACAGATTCCATGTAAACATTCAGCTTAAAGCCACATCTGAATGGTTCTAACCACTCACAAACACAATTAATTGCCGATAACAAGTTTGGATTTGTTTTCAGAAGAACGTGAAACCAATATATTTTGTTGCGCTTCCTCATTTCCTACATCGGGGCCAAGGGCTTAAGAAAACTAAATCTGTTTAGTAAACGTATGTTATATATTCTTCGAGTAATTATACCATGCACATGCCTCCAGTTTTCTCAAGTGCTGGAGTTCTGGAATAAGAGATTACTGCTATTGCCATATTGGAAATAGGGCAAAGGAACCCTCTCCATATGCGTAAAACCATCGATTTCGCAATTCTAAGTTTAAGAGAAACATTTTCATGTCTGGATTTTATTGAAGAATGATAGAGAACTCAGAGTTTATAAAATGCAAAACACTATGATGCAGGTAATCCATTTTATTTAAGAATATAATATTTTCTCATATAGGCTCTTCTTCTTGGTACTATTCTACTGCAATTGCCCGTATTGGCGCTGGCATCAGAGATAGATGTAACGAAACTTTACACTACAGTCTTTGCGCTACAGTCATCATATATCCTAAGCGGCGTAAAACCCAACTCACTCACTCACTTCAGATCATCTGAAGCTTGCCATTCACATGTACATGACGATTATTAGCTATTATAATTTTTGGTCACAATACTAATTTGTCATGAAGATTGCTGAGTGTGGCGTTAAATAAACAAACAAACATATGCTCATAGCATAGTCGGAATTGTACATTCGACTCTCCTTTTAGCAGATATTGTTTATGGAGGTGGAAATTGGTTTGTAGCGTTTATCTATTAGACCGAATGAGCCATGAGTTTCTGAGATCACTGTGGTCCATGAATCTGCAAGACGAACTGGCATAAAGTTTTCTTTTAATTAACCCTGTGGTTCGCGCATTGATATCTTATAGTACAGGAAGAACGTGTCTCACAATTCACCTTCAGGGATACCGTAAATCGTGATGGTAACCCATTAAACTATCGTTCGAAATCAGGAGTTAAGATCAATGGCAAAACCACATTCCGTTGAATAGAGTATTAAAAAAATATGTTCAGCAAAAAGACATGCGAGAAATTGCATTTATACTGGGTCGGTTGTGCGGCTATTCCACTGTCTCCCCGTGTCCTCCTCTGACTTGTACAGGTCGCCATGATCGGAGCAACCATTGCTAAAAGACAGGAATGTACGTCGGGCCCATAGTGCGCTTTGAAAAGACAGTCTATTCCCTAAAATAGGTGTTGACATACAGGTCAAACAAACAAATATTTAACATTGATGGGAAAAGTATTACTATCTATTTAATGCAGAAATAGAAGAAGTCTTGGGGCATATGTAGGAAGTGTGTTTATTCGTATTTCAGTGTGATGCAAAATATTATAGCTGGGTTGCAATGATAAATTCCCAAATCTGACCTTGCAATAGTAATGGCATCCTGTCAAATGATATAATGCCTAGTTATATAAAATGATGACGTGGAAGCAATTGTCCAGCTGCAATCAGGAATATAATGAGTTGGTAATGCAATAACGCAAATCAGCGATAACTGGAACACTTAATTGTGCAAATTACGATTAAGGAGTTAGCTATTTGTTTAGGCCTACGTATGCAAACTGGAGCCGAGATAAAGAAATTTACACCGTTGAGGATTTCGATTTCCGGAAAGTTAACTGCATGCCATTTTACAATCGTGCTAAGATCGCTTTGTACAAATGGATTACGACTTTGGTGTTGGAATTGTAAAGTTGATTGTAAGCTTTAAGCGCTAAGATCGATTATAAATAAGATTGGTGGCTGCATGTGGGCCTGTTGTAAACTCCAAAAACATTTTTGTCTCGTTCATTTATCCTGAATAATGTAACAAATATTGGTGTCAGGCAAAATCCATCGGCACCATTTGCTGTTAAGAAGGAAGTTTCCTCTACGTGCTTTCGAATGTTTGGGAGAACTACCAGGTGAATTATCCTTAGTTTCTTGCATGATTAGTACTATGCGCAAATGTGTCCTACAAATACATTTTAGGTCAGATGTTTTCTTTAGTCTGTGAAGCATATTGTAAAGGCACCTGGGATCGGATATAATTAGTCCATTTTTGTCCAGGATTGAAAATGGTATCTTTAGATATTTGCAAATGAGTATTTGGTAATATTGTCATTCAGCTTAGACGTGTATACCAATGGTGGTTCAAATGACTATGCACCACACAAACAGTGCATTGTACATAAGTAGGAATTGAATACCCGAGCAGTTTGAATGCTCAATATTGCATGTTTGTACGATGAATGGTTGGATTCTGATGTAATACAGGACTTACGCCATATATTTGCTGCACATGATAGATTTTATCAGGCTATCAAGCCTTATGAAGAAAACACTCCAAGATCTGTTTGTACAAAAAACAACAACATCAACACTGTACAATGAACTGACCATTAGGAGGACAGTAGGGCTGTCCTTGACCTTTGATTGTAAAGAAAAAAATATACCTTGATAGATGAAATAGGCAGCCTCTGACAAGACTTGCTCTCATTTTATTGGGCTTATTCACACCTTATTCACTTGCACACTACGTTTTAACTAAAATTGTTTGTGTGGTGAGTACTACCGGTAGGGATAAACATGCTTTCATATTTCGTAATCTCCTTGTGACAGTACTGACATATAGTGACCTATCCGTACGAGTTCCACTTTCGCCCTCTGTAGTGTGTTTCAGTGGATATTCCAGACTAATTATTCTCTGGTGTTGACGGTTTGCAGTAATCTGACAATAAACAACTCTGCACGGAATTGGAAACGCTACCGAATTTATGACAGTATTCTAGACCCCTCAGAAAAAATTGTACACAGAAAAAAAATCGATATACAAAACTGTTACTGCCATAGATGGGGGTTAGAGCTTATGCTTGAGAAACAAGTTGTTCTTTTTCAGAAATTGTGGATGGGAGTACAGCGAATTCAATATTTCGTGATCGTCATTTTATTAAGATGTTTCCTCAAATGACGTTTCTTCAAAAGACGTCTATTTTTAGAAAACGTAGGTAGTAAGTGATGTAAGTACAGATCATTTGATTTAAACTGAAAAGTATAGATGTTGAATATTGTACATGGGTAGACACTGTTATCAGACGGACCTGTTGTGAAATGCTTAAACCTCATGATGAAAAGAGCAGCAAAAACAGTATAGATAAAAACATACACTGGCGCTAAAATGAGGAGGGATTTCTCATATGCTTTGATCACAGACATTTGTGGATGCATATCTCCATTTCTTTCATGATCCTTTAGCATAAACATTTAGGTATATATATAAATTCACAATTGGCATGGTAAATGTGTTAGCTAACTACCAAGTCAATATTCGTTTGACATCATCCTACAAATAGATGTATACGTGAACTAGAACAAAACCTGTTCCAGTTACTTCCAAAGACAGACAATTGTTGTGACCCGCATACTGTGCAAATTCCGTGGTGTAAACCATGCGTGTAATCTTATTGAAATAGTGCAGCCTACTGAAATGTAGCCAATGTGAAGATTATACAGTTAAAGATGACAGATACACAGATAACAGACAAAAACCACATCAAAGACTGACAAATTGTACCCTTGGCTATGAAGGCTTTGCCACAGATAAGCATCTCGTCTTGTCTTCACTATGTGAAGAGTAGCCTCAGTTGATTACTCGCCTCTTACTGTGAATACGGCATTAATGATAATTTCATATATAAACTAGTTTGTGTTTCATGTTGCCAGTATTTTATATTTAAGCTGTATTCATAGTCATTTTGCGTTATTGTCTGAATCCAATTTCAGTGTGATATATCTAAATCATTCTGATTGTACATTGTATTGAAGATGATGACCAGATAACCTACTAGATGGTCCAAATTATCCCCATCTTGTGAATTAAGGGAAATTTAGATTTCGTGACAACACACCAGGAATTCCTGAAGCTTGAAGGTTATTCCACAACTATGTCATGTAACACGTCCAAGATGTTAACTGAAGGGAGGACCGGTGACTCGAAGAGGGTAGTGCAGTGCAGATCCTACTAATGTCTGACTTGTAATTCCGAAGCACTCCAGTTTCTCAGTCATTAGCATATGTATGTGTGAACGCGACCTCAGCCGTCCACATAACGTGGATGTAACACACTCCCATTGAATATTCAGTTGAGGACTTCGCATATTGCTATGGGTAAGTGTTTTAAATTATTCCCACTACATATACCATCGTACTGGTTTCCCTCAGAGAGAACCGTTCGAAGCCGCCATATAAAGTGTTACAGTGTTTCAATCACAACGTGTCAGCTTAAAGTAGTGGTGGTGGAGTTCTGAGGTATTCACATCTTTAATGAAACCCATGTGGTCTCAACAATATTAGCATCATCATCCTTACAATCGTATGTCCAACAACCTAGCACATGATCCTAGCACAACTGAGGGTAGCAACTCATCACAGAGACGACTGAGCCACCTGACAAAACCCCACGAGTTTCCATCTGTGATGGTTAGAACCACACATTTACTTGAACAAAACTGAAACACAATTATGAACAAAGGACTGACTGAGTTGGCTTTACGCCGCTTTTAGCAATATTCCAGCAACATCACGGCGGGGGACACCAGAAATGGGCTTCACACGTTGTACGCATGTGGGGATTCGAACCCGGGTCTTCGGCGTGGCGAGCCAACGCTTTAACCACTAGACTACCCCACCGCCCCCTATGAACAAAGGAAGAGACGAGCATAAAAAATACACATTTCTTTATTTACAACAATGTTCTACATTTATATTCCATACACTATGTCTTTGGTGTATCTAAAATATACTTTTACATATTTGTTAGTCTAACTATGTCTTCTAGCTTATTGATCTGGTCCTAAATAGGTTAGAACTTCATTGGTTACATTACGCAACTAGTCATACGAGAGAAATTAGTTTACAGTACGGTAGGGAAGGCGTTAATTGAGAAATAGTGTGAAAAGGGAAAGCAATATTTGGGACAGTTCTTCCTCGGTTATACCGAGAACACGTGTACGCATATATACAACGATTATAACGTTTTGAAGACTGTAATAATATAATTATACAAAACAGATACAGCCACTGTTGATGTAACTATGTAATGGTATGTTGGGTGAAATGAATTTGGGTAACACAAAACCAATAATCAGAAAAGTCACATCTAAGCTTGGGGCATCACAAAATAATTGTATCCAAACACATGCGGATTTTCCATTCAAACGACGCACTTGGATCATTTGTTATTCAACTGAACATCTCCCGAAAGCATCAAAATACACCTTAAACCGTTCGTTGGAAGTGAATCATTTCAAGCTGGATGCACTAACTTTAACATTCACGTTGTTTTCTCTGCTTTTGTCATTGGCAAGACAATAAGTAGAACTATAGTCACTGATACTGTACCTGTGATAAACACCCAGAACATAAATCTGTCGATCACTTCCGCAGCTTCTTGCCATTCCCGGCACATGTTGTCTTCCTTCTCTTTTTCCTCCTCTCGAAAAATCAGTTCTTGAAGCCTCGCCAAAACCTCGTCAAAGTCACCAACGTTTCTATACTCTCGCCGAGTGTTCACGTTATCTAATCTTCTATGAGACGTTGGTTCGCCATTTTCGTAATCTATTAAGCCACAACCAGAATCGTTTGAAAAGTTATTTTCAGTTCCTTTGTAAAACTGCCTGCCGCCCCGCATTCCACTTCGAAGAACCTCTCCCTCGTTAGCTAATACTGGCTTGATGAAGTACAGTCTTTTGCACATAATTCTCGCGAGGATGGTAACAAGTTTCTTGAGCCATCTCGGGACTGAGATTTCTTTCTTCCCGTGACTGCTGATGTTAGACACCGTCACCGCCAGGATTACCGAGAAAGATGTCAAGGACATCACACTTGTCAAATAGATACCTGAAAAAACAACAACAGAAGTTTAACATGTAGCCAAATATGCTTGTCGCAAGATATCGCTTCTATGATAGTCGAGTGGTTGCACAGTATAGGACCGGGGCGATTTGTACAATCGTACAAGACAGAGTGGATCTCGTTTGGACTAGATCAGTTACTGTCGCGGTAAAGCTACGTTATTGCTTATTTCGAAATACAAAGACATCCATTCACCCATTCCCTCTTTAGTTGATGCACGCACAGAAAATCATTCTCTGATATGAATGAAAGTGCTGTATTTTGCAAGCAATCATTTTGATATACAGAAGAAAACTACGGCTATCACGAACTCGAAGGGACCACTAATTTGAGTTCTTCATAACCGTAGTTGGTTATACTTACTTCGGCCAATATATACAACACGTGGCCGGGACCAAAAGAACAGACTGAGTTCTTTTTATCCATTAGTTCGTTAAAGACATGTTCGGTATAAGCGTAGTTTATATAGTTCCTTTTACAACTGTCGAAATACGATGTTTGCAGAAACCCCACACAACAGCAACCAGAAATGATTCATAGAGCCTTAGGGTTTCTATCAATTCATTTAACAGACCATTATGCCATTTCAAAAAACCATGAAAACATGACTACAGTTCCCAATTTTATGCGAGGTCAGGATTGCAATGTACACCTCTACAAATATTGATATGGTCATTCCATTACAGTGGTCTATGCATGATTACATCCAGTGAATAAGAGCAACGTGTTGTGGTTACAATAGTCAGTCATCTACAAGACCTGAACGTTCTTATGTGTTCAGTAGAACTGATTAAACTCAAACATTGGATCCTGGAGAACCTATACGAACACCATCATGTTTGCACTTGGCTCATATTTTCTACAAAGGCACATGCATCTCTACAACGACACATGATGAATTTCCACGAAGACACAATCCCCGATGATAGACATAAAGCAGTGAGAATTGCCCTGGCCACAAGAGATCAATATGTAATTGAGATCGTTTTTTAAATCTGAACTGGTAGCAGAAAAGAATTCACGCAACCACATTTAATGTCATAACGATTCTCCATTTCATAGTGGTCATATTATTTAGACGTTTAATAGTGGTCATATTATTTAGACGTTTAATATTGGACGACTGCGACTTTTATCTTTTATATGTGGACGTCATTAAAAATTTAAAAAATATGTTCAAAGTGATACATCAAAGCATGCGATTTACTATTTCAACGTACGATTATATACAAAATACATCGTTTATATCCTTATACAATAAAACTATCTGCATTATAATAGATCAAGTTCCATTCCCCAAGATAATGTTCATGCGTCTACATTATTATTAACCCAGTCAATGGACAGTGTACACTCGATTAACCCTCTCAGGTCCACCGGGAGTCTTCAGCCTATGCTGGATGTAAGATCCTAGAAGGGTAAAAGTCACATTACCATCTCATCCTGTAGGGTTCCATTTACTGTTGGGTGAACAAATACTCATTATGAACAATGTTCGTATGTTACCCAAATCGTCTATACACGTAACATTGCCCCAACTGTACGTAAAACTATAGTCTGTAGACGTCTCTCTTTGTTTGTAGAAATGCCCATAGAAAGAATATTGTTATACGCCTCTTATGGGCTCATTGTATGAACTACATAAAATAATGTTTCTTCTTCAGGAACCCCACATGCTTACCTATGAGAGGCACGAAGCTTGACGTTGCGGGCATATTCTCAGCAATAAGCAGCATGAACACCGAGAACGCAAGAAGAACCGTCAACCCCAATGTGACTTTTTCTCCACTCTCAGGAGACATCCAGAAAACCAATAACGTCAGCGTCGACAACATAATACAAGGCGTTATGACGTTGTAAGTGTAGTACAGGGTACGACGACGGAGATGAATGGTGAAGGTGACGTCAGGGAACGGTTCTGGACAACACTGGTAGTACACGACATTCCGGATTGCTTCCACGCTCACTAAGTCCCATTCTCCATTTTCTACATAATTTGACAGGTCCACTGCCGTTGCTGACCTGTTGTAGACGTTGACCTGAAAGCCGTCATATGCCCACGAACCTATCTTCATTTTGCAGACTTGATCATCAAACGGGAAGTAAGTGATGTCAATCTGACATGTGCTTCTAAGTTTGACGATAGGAGGCCAGAAGACAGTGCCATCGGCTTGTACCATAGCAAGAGCCTGCATATAGCCGTTTGTATAGTCCTCGGCGCTGTAACAAAGTTAATTTAATGATATCAGAGATAGATCAGTATTAACATTAGTTACATATACAATGTATATTTATGATCTCATTGACAATATATGAATGGATATCTTCACCCCTTTCCGTTGAAAAAAAGTGTTTCCAGCCCTTGTCCATAATCCTACATTTCTTAATCTGTTCAAAATATCTAGAATGCTATCGATTCCTCTTTGGTTTTGTTGGTCAAAGTGTTCTACGTAATTTCGTCCGTTATAAAAATAACTAAAACAGATTGGTCTAAAACTAACACTTTTTAGGATCTAAAAGCCAGTTCAAAAAATGAATTATAATTTTTTATCATACCTATTTTTAGCTCGTCCTTTTCGACAAAATGTCAGGCTGTCAATTTCTTAACCAATTATTAAGATATGTGTCCATCAATATCAGTTAGTGGAAACATCAAGGGTGTCTAGGAATGGAAAGATATTTGAGAAAAAACCAACATGCGACCATTTCTCAAACATCTCACTCTAGAAGGGCATCGAGAGTGTCTGAATGATCAATGGAAGGGCAGATATTTCGGAATAGCCATCACAATACTGAATATCAATACCACTCACGTCATGCAAATATAAAAAGGCAGATCGTGCTGACAATTGCTATCACGCTATGGCGTGTTCGGTTTCTAACCCCGTTGTTGTGGACCCATTCCCTGTTAGGAAAACTTGTACTGGAATATACCTGTTATAAAGCACGATATCTGGTTTCCAAATCTCGCTGCATGGAATCCTCAGAACTTTCAAGCCGTTGTACTCGTCCGGATCCCAGTACAGCTTCTCATCCTTCCATTCCTGAAGGGAGACAGTGAGGATGTCATTAATTATACATTGACCTGACCTCATGGGTACGGCGTCAGTAATGACCTCAAGAGTTGTACACTACATCATTGAGAGATGAGGTACACCCTACTAGTTAACAGAATGCACTGAACAGATTCATCTCTCATAGTGCAGTGATTGTCCAAGAACTGATGCAATTCATCGTCACGCATGTAAAAACAATGAACATTTCCCGATGACAATACACATTCGATTTCACTAGCATGTCCCATGGGATATTAAGCAGAGACGTGTGTATTGTAGATGTATATGTTTAATAATAGTCATGTATTCCCCAAAACTCCAAAACTACAGCAATATCACAGCGGGGATAATTTGACGTTCAAATTGAGACTCGCCGATGCCACCAAAAGTAATTATTTTGGACATGTGAAATTAGTGCTGCATGCCTCTTACTTTGTTCAACTAAAGCAACATTACATTCATATTATTGTCACATCAAGTACGACATCAAAGACGAAACTGTTCAAAACAACGCAGATCGTGGCTTTCCTCTTCAGCCAATGCATAATTCACCGAAACATGGGAATACTTTTGTAGGAACTACAGGCCTTAATGATCTATCTAAATTTATCAATGAAGGGAATTTTGATATTTTACCTCTATATTTAAACGCTCGCCGCTGTGATATTGCTGGAATATTGCTAAAAGAGGCGTAAAACCATGCTCACTCGACAACCATATTCATAATCTGGAGAAATATTTGCTAAAATACGAGTCTCTTCTACACTTATGGCTATATAATGAGCATTAGTTAATGAATCACCATCAAACGGAAACGATACCAGGTATTTTCGGATAGGAGAGTGGGCCTGTTCCACCATCCTAAACACATACAAAGGCAGAGTAATTTTTTCACATGGAAAGATTCTTGCATCAATAAATTACTGTGTGTTCGTGTCGTAACAACGCCGTCCAATGTGAGGATATGCGCGTGTCCCGGGTTACAGTTTATTCTTCAGTCTGTTGGCAGCATAACTTTGCAGCAACAACGGTAAATACAGAATAAACTCTTAATTCAACACTCCTGTAATACTTGGACACAAGTTGTTTGACAATGGGTGGTTAACTGATGTATGATTACACATCAAAAGTAATAACCTACCTTGTGATTACCAGAAACTATTATTTGAAATATAATAAGGCCAGATGTCTAATGTTTGTGATCGGATAAATCAGATGGAAGACAAATCGCAGTTTAATCACTGATACATGCCAAACAGAATCAGGGCATATTGGATGATCACAGTGTTAAAGTCCTCACGGGATTCATTCAACTACAACACATTGTATCTAATGTTCTAATAACGCACAGCGTATCGTGTGTTAAGCCACTAGGTATTATCATACTGTGATTCATTAGACTAAGTGGTTCATCACAAGATCTCCACGAGTTTTTGTTAGGAATTGTTTTACCCATCCTCCTTATTCAACCTCTCACATCGCGTTATTAAAATCAGGCTGTTATGGGGAATCGACCCGTGTATATGTTGTAATCACAAGGCAAGCACTTCGTGTTGAAAATAGCCACCGGTAATGTTTGTAATCACGGTCCGACAACGCCAATCTCGGCAGCTGAGTTAATTGCTATGATATTTTTTCAAAACTATGGACTATCCATGTTGCATCCAAGATATTCCACTCGATGCTCAAAGAAATACAAAAAAACTAATTAGACTGCTAAACATTCCAAAATCACCATGATGTCATTAATGCAATACGCATCAGTTGACGTCATTAAAAAAGAAGATAGTCTGTCCTCTTGTAACAGGACGTAAAGGTTATTATCTAATTCAGATCTGCATCAAGATATGTACCGCAATATTTAGACAAACAAATCGACCTTAAACATTATAAATATAATAAATAATATTTGTAAAAAAACAGAGAAATTGTAACTTTTACAACTAGTGATAGAACTAATATTACAAACCGGATATTATCTGGTTCCAAAATCAATATTTCTCTGTAGGTTGTTCTCAGACAAACAAAATCTGTTCCTGTTTCAGGAAGACGTATTTCACATCGGTTCAGTTTTATTCACGTCTGTTCCCATGAGATGAATCGAAATAATCTGATTAATGTCATATTGATATTTACTAGATGTCAGGGGAAATCTAGAGAAAGCATGGAATATACAAATGTTGGGATGTAGGCGCACTTACTTCACTCATATCTCACATGAATGAAAATACGCGACACTAATAAATGAAATATTCATGTGTTCAAAAGCTGCATAAAAATACTGAGAGAATAGACTGAAATAATATCAATAGAATTCATCGTGTTAGTTAGATTAGCTTTATATTCACATATGTCGGGGTTGTATTTGTACATTGTCTCTCCTGTGGTGTGTTAGTAGACAATATATGTGCCTCAAGAGTTCCATACAATAACACACAAAGCCAGGGTGTAACCTTTTGCTGAAGATGTTAATATTGACCAGAGCGTAGTCAAATGCCAGAGGCATCACACAACTAATGATCGTCTTTTGTTGAGTTCGAATCCCAGATTTGACACTGACCCATGCATGATATCTGTACAAACAGCAACAGTACGTTTATCTTTGAGTCAGTAGAAGGGATGGTCGGATTCATAACTATTTTAATGCCAGTAAGTCACGAACGTATTGTTTATGAACAGTTCTTGAATTTATGATAATTACCCGTATCAATGATAAAGCAAATGACTAAAATCAATATTCTTACCTGATCTAGCCAAATATTTGTAGTTAACACCTGGTTTTTCTCGTCCTGAAAATATAATTTCACACATTACGATAATGCACCTGGACTATGACGTATTATTTAATACATGACGTTCAAGAAGGGTACAGCAATCTTAATAGCTTGATATTAAACAGACTTCGTGGTCAAATGTTTAAAGCGTCAGCCAGTAGTTCGATGTCAGGCTGCATAATATCAGAAAGTGTTAACAAATGGTACTTGATGTCACCATGCCTCTGTGGGGATGGAACATGGACTGGGCTATTTTTCAGTTATCTTTAGCAATAAGGTAACACGCAGAGTCAACGGCATCTCCTCACCACGTCAAAGACCTGTGTTAATGTAATGCCAATGTATACGTCGACGGAGTGAGAGGCGTTGTAGACAGGACGGGTGTGTCTGTCGTACCCAGCCATCAGGGACATGTACAATCTCTGCTCATCTGTCAGTATTGGCGCACTCTTATTGATGCAAATCTGATACTCTGGAAGTAAACATCAGATAATCAGAAATAGTGGGCAAAAAGTATAATTGTTCCCTCAAATTATACTATATTATTTATATATTTTTTAAAGATTAACGCATTTGCAGACAATATCATGCGTATGAAAAGTTTCGTGTGTGGATTAATCTAAGAGAAACAAATAATAAGCACAATATGTACCCTTGATGATTGACAAATGTTATAATGAAATGCACAGTGTATTAGACTGAGATGTATTTAATAACATATTACTCACATGACAGAGACGAGGGATGGTATGATTTGATATGATTACCCATGATGATGAATAATACACATCCCATGCGACAGTTGTATCGATTGTACAATACTCTTTGTTTCAGATCTCGTTCTCATTCGTCGTAATAACATACCTTTGTCTGCTGACACATCATTGCTGAAACATACCAAGAACGACAACCCAACAAGGATTCCTATTTTCGCCATCTTGAATGATGAAGTTTCATACTTCCGCAGCCGACATAGGATAACCTACAAGGAGAAGACACTCCTGTATTCACAGAATCTTACCTACTTCTGATCTACCGCGCCACACGCCAACAGTGTACGATTACAAATCACCTCTCTACCTCGTGTAGCTTTAGCCATCTCATCACAGACCCCAAACCCCCGGAGATAACGTATGAGAAACATATTGCCGTTCCACATTACCTACACCTACTGGAGATTGAAAACTACTTCGTACTTGTTTGTTATAGAAACATAAAGGTCTATTTATGCTAAGACCTTCTGGCAACATTTGAGCCCCAAAGCAAATATTTTGCAAACTTGTTTACTTGGCTAGCATGATCAAGTACAGTATGATATGAACATAAGCGTTTCCTTCCCACACTTCATATCGACAGTTGAAGACTTTGCATCTGGTGTCCATGGCTCATTAACCTACTGTATCATATCGTGGTTTCCAAGGAGCCAGTTTGCAATTACATCACAAGTTACAATACATAATATCAATTGAATATTATCGCTCATCCGTATACATGTACATGTAATTTTACTTGCAGTGTAAACACTCTAAAACGTTTAGGTTTATGTCATATCTATACGTATTTATTCAATGTAAATACAAACAAGCATTTTACTGTTCGTAGTATTTCGAGTGAACATTAAATAATTGTACAAAAGAAACATAATTTTCACTGTTGTACAGGTGAAGTTACGTTATTAATTACCTACCTTGCACATTGAATATCTTATTCCATTTACCGTGTACACCACAAAAACATACACACCCACTAGTTCACAGAATCACGTTCTGTTTTATAAAATTAGCGCATTCCCTCGCAGCAGGATAGTCTGAACAAAGGTGTATCACACACAATACAATTAGTTGATCCTTGCACTTGTTACAGCCAACAGGAGCATTAGTGAAATATATGTTATTCCGCAGAGGTTGCGTCAATTCGTGCTGTCTCTTTGGGACATGTAATATCCTCTTCCCTGGTGTGACAATAATGCACTTCTATAACTCCATGACATTTATAAATCTTTGCATGCGCTTGCAATGGTACTGCGGACACAACACTAAATGTATCCAGACAGTCAATCTAGGTGGCTTTAGCTTCATTCTACAGAAAGTATACACCTATATGCCTAAATGGCATCTTGGTTGAAAAGGAGCTGGAAATGAAAATCATGTTGTGGGATCGTGTGCATGTAGTTTTTTATCAATGATCACACCGTTCCTTGTGTGTTCCTCGAAGCAAACAATGAAAAGCCATGAAGAGTGATTCCTGACAGGGCATACACGCCTGTCCACTCAAGTTAAGCCATTATCAAAGAGACGTGCAAATGCATAGACTTGTCGTAAAGGATTGGGATATAGCTGCGGAGAGTGTGAAACGGAAACGTCGATTTGAACCATTTGCATACGTTTCACGTAAACCTGTGTGTGATTTTTTTGACGTTCAACCATGATGGTGAGATCCATTTCAACTTGACAAACTATGAATTGTAATGTAATATGAGTACGTTTACTGTTTAAATACGGTCTTCCAATGTACACATCGGTGAAATACCTGTTATCACATTTACATCACTTAATGACCAGGGGTCACTGACCATGTAATACAATACAATAATATTGCATATTCATCTAAATGATTGGTACAATATGTATGATTCACAGAACAGAACTTGATGTGTTTTCAGTTCACAGCAAGTTTACCTGCAAATGTACCTCTGCTAAAATTAATTGCGAACTAAAAACGCAATATTTTGTCAGTTATTACGACATCTATTATTGTTTACAAATGCCTTAAAGAAGTAGTTTTCTATAACGTTTATCTTCCACAGTGATGCGAGGTTGTTATTGTGATTTGATATCTGTGATTGATAAATCCGAATAGATAATTTTTCAAAACCAATGTAGAATTAATGTTCGACGACCCTAAACAATCTACAAAGCATTCAAATAATCAAGTGTATACCTGGTATTTTCTGATTCTGTATTCTGGTGTGTTTGATTGTATGTTTGTTTGCTTGCTTGTTTTACTCCAGATATATGACATGAACATTCCGGGTATTCCATACTTTTACAGACAATCCAGTAATTAAAAACCCTTTGAAACGCAATCATATAGTGTCCACAAATGGTCTCCCGTTCCAAAGACGTCTAACAAGCATATTTTGCTGAGGACCAGTCCTAACCCTGAACCAACACCGGGTTATCAGAAGAGCATATTACAGGCTGGTATGCGTTTCTCCTTATTTTCGCCTGTTGAAACAAACATAGTCTAACACATACATTACTAAATAACAGTCCATACAGGAAATGAAAGCTTCTTGACATAACCGAGATACAAAATAACGATAGTTCTTTGCGTTCCCCATTGTTATATTTCCTGCGTTAAACATACATACTTCGGAGTGATAACAGTGGTATGGTAATTTGTTCATGGACTATACGAGGTAGGCATAACAAGGCTGTGTAGATAGTGGCACATTTCCGTTTACACAAACATTCCATCCAACAACACGTTCAGATAAGGATAGCTTTTGGGATATATTTGTGAAGCAGCATATTCAACTCTCTTCAGATTCTCACGTGTGTTGCTCACAAAGGTCAATGACTTGTTTGGCTTTGGTCCGTAAATTGGTATAGAATTGGTCGGTATAATGTTTGTGCTGACGTTCAAAGTAGGAACAGGTGCAGTTGAATATGCCGACAACAAGCTTGGTTAGTAGACGTGACACCATGTAGACACTTCAGTAAAACAATGAGAACAACAGTGCTTCACATTAGCCATAGCAGGTAGTTAAACTCCAGGTCAAGTTCAGATGTTTCACCTCTATATGCTCCCATGAGAAAGGATTTGAGGTTTGATTAGTATCTCCTGCTGCCAATTGATCAGAGTAACTGAAACTTTCATTGGTCCTGTACGCTGAGTATTCAGTAATGGCGTCACGACCTCAATTTAGTCCAACTAGGAATGTACAGGCACATGGACACCATACTTCCTGTAATAAGTACTAATAACATCCACGATAAATAGTGACAGTTATGTAGATACGGGGGGCGAATGAGGTTCCAGGGATTTGAAATAGTAACCTGGAACTATGTCAAAATATCTAACAGAAGGCACATGAGGGTATGTACGTTCAATTTGGTTGATAGCCCACAAAACCAGAGTAGACTCCAGCCGGAATGCACTGGTCCAATAGCGCGACTAACAGTTAACGTCTTTTCATAAGTACAAGGTCATTGCTTACCAACATGTCACAGTTTCTGATAAAAAACAAGCACTTTTCCTGGACAGTCCGGAAATTATTGTAATATGTTCAAAGTATAACCTGCATGCCTTGCAGCCGGACTGGCTATTTCAAGTTAAAGAACAAATAACAATGTAATTATCGGAACTGATTCTAAAAACTGGCGTTGTTAAATGGGTTTATGGTATGGATGACAATGCAGTAATGCTACATTGTAAGTTGTTATAATGGGAACACAGAGACACCGATTTGACGTCGTGTTCAAGATCATTTCCTTTACATAGTCACGGATATGTTTGGCAGCTTGTACTGTAATGGAGTTTTTTTACCAAGCGCCGTGACAGGATGTACTTGTTGTTTCCCTGTCTGGTAGTCAGAGGCCACCATCAATGACGTCACGTCGCCTGGCACCTGCATGAGCGTTTGATTGTCTCCAATACTTGCTATGTTCACACCTTTATTTATGTATGAAGACACTGTCTGAATATCTTTATACTTTCTGTGTGCACAGTTTCTTTATGTGGCCAGTATATATTGCACTGGACTTGTACAGGCAGCCACACAAACGAACATGCACTTGGTTACATAAGGCCAACAATCTAAGAAGCCAAGCTAAACCCCATTTCACCTCAATTCGTGCATAGGTTACCTCTGGGTAACCTGTTTCTGATTATGGGAGGTCACGAGAGGACACGTGACCATGACCCTTCCTCGTGCTGGATGTCAGTAGGTACTGAGAATGTGTAACACGGTAATCTACTTTCCTAATAGATGAAGACTGTGACATTAACTCAGGCCTGGGGTTTGGAGCACATCATGACACGTTAACAGCACCGCCGCTGAAGGCGAACTCTGTGGCCATGGTGGTGCAATTAACGTAAATCATACGTTGAGGTTTCGCGAGATCACATATTATGACGGATACTTATGTGTTTGATTAAGAAAGGAGATCAAAAGTTGGACGCCTACTAGTGTAATTCGCAGACACGAAAATCGCGCCAACTTCATCAGCTTGAGACTTAAACTTATGCTAACACAATTAGTGCTAACCGAGAAGAATTGGTTGTCAAAGTATATGCACCCAGTGATGTGACGGCACTCGTTTTCCTATCACTATTTTTATTTCAAATGTTATTCCACCTGCCTGGGTGATAATACAGGCACGTTATCCAAAGGCGAGGGCGGTCGATCAAAACGTATACACATCGTAGTAAAACACTACATAAACTGAAGGGGTAATTAACATTATGCCACGAAAGCAGATCATACAGTGCTAAACTATTATCAATTTCTGTCAAATATGATTACATCTATCATACTAATTTTACACTTTGAGTAGTTTCGAAATGGCACCAGGATTAAATTCTTTGGCATGTCTGACATTACGTTTATAAGAACAAAGCATTAGTTTCAGTGATTGCAGTTCGAAACCTTTATTCATCAAAAGACTTTCCTTCAAAAACTAATAACATTTCTATCTACATGTTCTTCAGATGGATGATAATACCAGTAATGTTTTTGATTAACTACACACGTACTGGCATTTGTAATATGCTACGAAAACACGTTTATGTATTTCAGTTTGAAACCTCCACCAAAATGAGGTTCGCCATTTTGTAACAACCTTCTAGAAGTTTCTACTTGTACTGCCACGTAAGTCTCATGTCCTCGACCTTTATGACAACAGCTTCAAAGTGACCTAATGATGAACAGAGGCCATTAGGGAGTCATGCCCAGATGCGATCACCTGGATATCAAGA